GGATCAAGGCTCCATTCCACTGCTTCTCTTGCAAATAAAAGTGTTGTGTCACCAGTGCTGAACTAAGAGTTAATGACCAGTGAACTGAACCAGTTTCTATATATGGAACAGAAAGGGCTGGATGGGCAGAAGGGACACTGTCTTGTTCATGCCTCAGAAAGCAAGATTCGGCTTGCATGAGAAGGAAAGGGGAGAAGAAGGAGATCTGCTACATGACATCAAAGTGAAGTTGTAAGTTATGAAAAAGCAGTTACATCTATCCACAATCCCTGATCATTGGCTGTTTTGTCTGGAGCTGGTGGAAACCACATCCCATGGCGTCACTAAGGGGGTGCTGGGAGTTCAGCCAGCATCGAGTGACACTTTAGAAGAGGGGAGACACTCAATCGGGCCCCGCTCCCAATGTAGCTTTGCTGCGGTGGCAAAGGAGAAGGCCAAGCACACCTTTTTGGCCACCATTGTCCCCCTACACCGATTGACACCAAGCATGGGGATGCCACTGACTATATCCTGGAAGGCATGTCATGGACTCATTCCCACTGAAACAGTAAGATGCACTGGGAAACTGTGAGATGAGTACAAATGTCTCACCAGTTGCCCTCTCCAATCAGAGAAGTGGCTCACATAATGCAAGCCCTCCTTTTTGGAGATGCACCTACCTCTTGTTTATAGTAATGTTTGCATATGAGTTTATATTATCTGCTGTGTTCTGCTCCTAAAATCCGGGTTTTCAAAGGTTTAAAAGAATTATTTGACAGCAAGGTCCAGCTCCGGAGGATTCCCAGGCCCAACAAAGATGATGGGAAAGTTGAGGTAGCCATGGTGGACCCATCTTTGAAAACTGAAATATTGGAAAATGAATAGAGAATACGAAGTAAACACCTGGAAATATGCTGAAGTACAGACCTTGAAATGTTGCTTTCCCCTTATCTAGAACCCCCCCACCCAGCATAGCTAGTAGGCATTGCCATCCAAGCTGCCTATTGGGATGCTACAGAGTTAATGTTTCTTTGGAGCAAAGGTTGAACTTGGTACTCCCCATCTCATGGCCCATTTTAATTACAGGCCTGCAACGCTTCATCTGGTTCTCACTCTTGATACGTCAGTCAGGAGTTCTGCCAGGGTCTTAAGTATCAGCAGCCAGGGCTCCATGTGCTGAGCCAAATTAAACATTAATGCTATTGAACCAAGCATGCCTAGTTGTACTTTCAACTGGGCTGTACTTGTACTTACATGTACTTGCATTACATGAATTTTTCTCTGTCTCGTTGCAGCCACATCCACCGTGGTTCAAAGATTTCCTCCAAGTCCTGGTATTAGCAGAATTTCAGCAAATAGCTGAGACCCTTTATATGGTTTGTGATTGCCAAGGTTCATTTGTTAACTTGTATGAAGGAGAAGAAGTCATATCTTTATTTCTTTTGGCTGGGTTATGTGTTTTCTTTCTCCTTTCCCTGGGAAGGGATCTGTGGGTGTGAATCTTTGTCAACGAATGGTCCCTATTATCTGTAATCTGAATTAATGCAAGGATGGGGAGACAGCATTCCCCCACCACTATCACCATTGTTTTTGGCCTATAGCTGTCATCATTCCTGACCAAACTGGCTGAGCCTTATTGAAGTTGGAGTCCAACAGCATCTGGAGATTCAAATGCTTCCTCCCAATGGCTTAAGAAAAGCCCAGTGAAAAAGCACATGTTCCTTTCTGCGTAGCCAGTCCCAGGCATCTCTAGCATAGACACTGGGGAGCACCACTAGTCTGAAAAGGAGCTATGTCTCTTATGTGTGTGTGCCTTCAGGTCACCTGTCGACTTATAGTGACCCCATGAATTTCGGAGAGTTTCCTCTGAAATATAGCCTATAGCACCATGTGTATTAATTGACAGTCTCCCACCTATGCACTAACTAGGGCTGACCCTGCTTAGCTTCCAAGATCAGACAGGATCTCGTGCCTTCAGGGTATTTAGGCAGCTAAAAGCGGCTATACTGAGCTATAATAAGTCTAACTCAGATTAGGGTAGGATTCAAAGATATAGCCGTGTTAGTGGATCTGAGGAAGTAGACTTAAGTCTACGAAAGCTCATGCTGCTAATTTATTGCTTTCATTTAGTTTCAAAGGTGCTATAAAATCTCTTCACATTCAAATTAGGGTATGGTAGTTTTGCATCTTTCACCTAGCACAGTGTCCCACCCATTTTATTTATTGTTTTGTTTAACAATATTATTACATTTTAATCCTGCTTTTCCACTGAAAAATAGTGCTTAAGGCCAGGGACCCCGAATCTGTTTTGGTGGTCTAATTTTGCCTAATTATTTTGGAGCAATTTGATCTCCTTAGCCTAGTGTCTAGGCTAAGGAGATCTAGGACCCCCCCATTGTCCCCCACCACCATTCTGTGGTCCATGCATTTAAGGCAGCTGACCACATCACTAAAAACAGCTTAATAAAACCACTAGAATAATTCAGATTAACACAATAATCAATAAACTTGATAACAGTTTAAAATCTCAGTTTGAAGAGATGCATCTTCACGCCTTTCTAAAAACCATTAAGAACAGGAAGGGGTTACAAATGTGACAGTATCTTTCCAGCCAATAAATATTGCTCAGTGGATTTGAGGTGCTGCTAATAAATTCAACCTGATCAACTGCAAGATTAGGCATTCATTCTCATAAGTCTTCAAAAACTAAAGCTAACATAAATGTCCTATCACAATTGCTTCACAAGCCTATGCAAAGCAGGCTGTGTCAAGGTCAAGGCAAAGAAGCACAAAGTGAAGTTATGAGGAGATCTTTGATAATGAGATTTTATTTTTTGTTTTTAAGTAAAATATGAGTGACCCTGTTTTGATATGTGAGATACTGGAGGTTTTCAGAACAAATCAAATGTGATTTGATCTGACTGTAACTTGCTCTGGTTTGCTTCTTGGATCCTGATCCATGCAGCTCTGCCAAGTGCCTGCTCCATTCGAAGTCTTCTTGTTGAGTGAGATATATAGGTGACTGGCAAGAATCCTAATGATTTTCTGCCAGGTTGCACCATAGAAAACCTTATTATTTATAACCAAGACTTTGCTCCATGTGTTCTCATTTGTAAGTCTGCAGATGACAGGGCTCGACACTTGCAAACATTGTGTGCAACTAGACAAACAACAATTGTTTGCACAACCCATTCCTGGACTCTTGCATCATTCCTTGTGTTTCCTCTCTGAATGACCACGTTGCCCGTTCTTTGTAAGTGGTGTCAAGGTCCATGTGCTTATTCCTAGAATTGCAAGTTGAAATTGCTTCATTAACAGAGAAGCTTTCATGGATGCTTTGGACCAGCGATGCCAAGTTTTAATCAGTCAGGCTAAGAGTTAATACTCCATTTTAACGGCACAAGTTAAACTAGGGCAGAAGGACAGGCTATTAAACAAATTATTAAATAATAAATGACGCTTTAATTCCATTAGGCCGTTTGCTTTTGAGTTCAAGGGAAAGGATGCACACAGGGAAAGAAAATTAATATATGAAAGATAGACCTTCTTTCTAATGTCTAGTTAGCTTTTTGTTGTTATTATGGTAATTTTTAAAAATGGTTTCTTTTGCTCTTTTAATTGACCCTTTTTAATTGCTCCAGGAATATTTTTAAAGAAAATACCATGGTTTAGCTGACACTTTTCAAAAATATATGTTTTAAAAAGAGAAAACGAGACACCCAGTGATGAAATGGTAAATTCTGAAGTACAGACAAATCAACCTGAAAGTCCTCATAGCCCCAAGGCAGCTTGCCTTGATCCATACTCACATACCAGTTCTAGCATATATATATAGTTCGGTCTTGAATGAGTAATGAAGACAGAAGAATATAGGTGTGTGTGTGTGTGTATATACACACATACACACACACACCTATATTCTTCTGTCTTCATTACTCATTCAAGATCGAACTACCATCCCTCCCTCTTGTATTGTATCAGGCACAGTTTACAGCAGCTTGTTGTTTCTGGGAAAAGGTATTGTCACCACCATCACTCACCCCAGCTACCTTGAGGACTCTGCAGCTAAGCTCCAAGGACAGGGTGACCAGATGTCATAACCACAAAGGAGGACAAGGCAGTGCAAAATGGAGGACTTCCAAGAAAAATGTAGGTAGGGCATTACCAAAGAAAAGCTCAAAAGACTCATATAAATATAAATTCATGGTTCTCAGTCATGCTCAAAATAGAAGACATTTTGGAATTCCTCCTGGGCAGAAGGCTGAAATGTAGGACATGTCCTGGAAAAGCAGGATGTCTGGTCACCTTGTCCAAAGGAAAAAGGGAAGCAGGTTGGTGGCTGCAGGTGACATGATCACCATCATGAATCAGAGAGTGCTAGCACTTCAGTCCTTGCAAGCTTTGGCTTCACCACACCATTTCACATGCCACACTTTGTTTCTGTTGTGTAAATTTGTTTCAAAATAATCAATCACTTGAAGGCAGATCATGAATCATAAACAGTTCTTGAATTGGCTGGCCCCACTAGCTGTTGCATAAGTGATTTTGCTATATCTTGTCTACTGGAAATAGCAACACACAAACTGGAAACACGCAAGTGAAAAGGTTGCCAGATCTCAGGCCTGGCTCTTTTTCTCCAGTCCCCAGAGCAAGGGAGAAGAATCTTGGGCAAGAGTTTTGCTTTTAAAAGGCAGGTGTGTATTTATGTGTAGTCTTCATTTGTTAGACTTGGTATGATTTATCTGAATGGCACTCTTTGTATAACTGTGGTTGAGGATCCATGTATCATGTTTAGCAATATCACCAGGGGCTTCCCTGTGTAGCATCACTCTTCCACCATCACCAGGGTCACCCTGTGACACACAAAGGGGTCATCCCATTGTTGTTGATGTGTGACTTCAAGTCATTTCTGGTGACCCTAAGGCTAAGGCAAACCTATCATGCGTTTGTTCAGAGGAGGTTTGCCTTTGCCTTCCCCTGAAGCTGAGAGCATGTGACTTGCCCAAGGCCATCCATTGGGTTTCCATGGCAGGGACTTGAACCCTGGTCTCCAGAGTCACAGTCCAATTCTCAAACCACTCTGGCACTTAGGTTTTGGCCCAGAAATCTCCGCCTGGTGAATTGACGCTTCATAGGTGGGCAACAATAACCACAATAGTTGTGACTGCCATTGTGATTTCAGGAGGAGTTGTACCCAAATATTACCTTGAGCTGCATTTGGGGCACTTGATGAGTAGGTAGATAGGTATAAGGCTAGTGAGTAGTACCCAATGACAATTCTATTGCTTCCCAATTAGTATCACCCCCGGGGAATCTACTTGAATTAAGATCTGGGAATCCCTCTCCTGAGCTGAATAACAGGAAAGTAGAGCCTCTATAGCAGTGTTTCCCAAACTGTGGTCCTCCAGATGTTTTGGACTTCAGCACCCAGAATTCTTGATTGTTGGCTAAACTGGCTAGGGCTTCTGGGAGCTGAAGTCAAAAAACTTGGAGGACCACAGTTTGGAAGAGACTGCTCTATAATATGGGAGCAGATCAAAAG